AACAATACAATTCGTTCGAAGTGAAAGAAGCGCTTCAACGAATGGGAGCCCTGTTACCGATGAATATATTTTTAAGACAAGAAATCGACAGGTATAATTTTTTATGACATTTTTTTCAACCCTTTTTTTAAAGATTGTTTCCTTATTAAATTTTATAAATTTACAGGATAAGCAAAGTTATTAAAGAAGTGCGCAATACTTTAACAGATTTAAAATTAGCTATCGAAGGTACCATTGTAATGAGTCAAGGTTTGCGTAAGTCACTAGATGCAATGTACGATGCTCGTATTCCAGAAAAATGGTTAAAAATATCCTGGGAATCGGCAACATTGGGATTTTGGTATACGGAACTTTTGGAACGAGATTATCAATTCAGATTATGGTGTATTTATGGCAGACCTAAGGTCTTTTGGATGACTGGTTTCTTCAATCCTCAGGGATTTCTAACAGCTATGCGACAAGTTAGATGTTTCAATTTAATCTAATTTTCCTAATTTAATTTAATTTTTTTAATATGATGTAATACAATGTTTCATTACATAATATTTATCAATTGAAAAGAATATTATTTATATTTTAAATAATAAATTTGAATATTTCAGGAAGTGACTCGAGCGCATAAAGGATGGGCTCTTGATTCTGTAGTGTTACAAAATTTGATCACAAGATTTAATAAAGAAGATATAAAAAATCAACCTCAGGAAGGAGTTTACGTTCATGGTCTATTTTTGGAAGGAGCCTCGCTCGATCGTAAAACAAGCAAATTAATAGAAAGTAAACCGAAAGTTCTATATGAACAAATGCCAGTAATTTATATTTATGCAATAAACACAACTGCAGGAAAAGATCCAAAACTTTATGAATGTCCTATATATAGAAAACCGCAAAGAACAGATTCGAAATACATCGGATCGATAGACTTCGAAACTGATCATAATCCTCGACATTGGACATTACGAGGTGTAGCTCTTTTGTGTGACATAAAATAAAATAAAATGTCTCAACTATAATATTATTCTTTCTTTTTCTATTATTTTCTTATTTTATCTATTTTATGTATTAAATGACAAAAATGTTATATATAACTAATATATATAACTAATATATAACTAATAGGTTTAATGAATTCAAACATTTCTTTCTTTTCTAATATACATATTTATCAATCATTAACATGTAATCATTAACACTTTTTTTAAATTTATTGTGTTTTTGTGAAAAATATATATTAGCAATTGATTAAAATAAAAGATTAATTTTCTTAATCTTAAATCTTCTTAAATCTTTTTACAACTGTTCGGATACAAATAGTTCATTTATAGAATAAATATTAATTTATTGATTTTTGATTTTTATCTACATTATATTCTATTACAATACTTTTTCGATTTTATATATAATTTATAAATATTATAAATTTATTGGTATTTTAAAATATAAAAAATGACATTCTGTATGAAAAAGCAAATTAAGAAATAATTTTATTTCAAATTTAATCTAAATTTTTTTATAAATAATTATTTATATATAGAAAAAAAATATTATTTCCTGTAAATAAAAATTAAATTGTTGTAAAATATTAAATAAAAATTTATAAAATCATAAAAATAATTAATTTTTAAATAATATAAGTAATATGTGACCTTAAAATATTTATTGATCAAATTCAGATTTTAATAACTTAAATATTTCTATAGAAATATTAATATAAAAAACAATTTTCCTTTGCTAACAAAAAAGAATATTATCTTTATTTTTTGTTCCATAATATAGATCTAATATCCTAATATATACACATAAATATAAATATATTAAATAAGAAAAAAAGAAAAATAATATAAAATTTATTTGAAATATCAGTTATTTTTTACATCTATTTTTTTTCTGCATTTTTTATATTGAAATGGAGATTTAAAATTCTGTAAGAAAAAAAAATACAGTACAATAATTAATCTTTCATATTATAATATATTGATTTTAAAATAAAATAAACAATATTTCGTGAAAATTATATTAAACACAAATCTACAAAATTTATATATATATTTAAAATAAAATAATTTTATATTATATAAAATTATATTTCTAAAAAATTTTATTACGAAGAATAGAAATCTTTGGATAGAAAAATTTTACAAATCTATATTTGAAAAATATGTTTGTTTAAAAAAAAAAATGTTTGAAAAATATAGATATATCTAGATGCATTTATATTTTAAAGTTTTTCAATATAAAGTCAAAATAAAAAAATAATTAATATTTTCAAATATTTCAATATAAAATTAACAAAAACTCTGTAAATTTCCTCCTAATAAACAAATTTGTTTCAAAATTTGTTTCAAAATATGTAAAAAAAAATATTCTTTAACAAAATATTCTTATTAAATATAATATACGCATAAAAGTCATCTGTTTTATTTTTAATTAATTCTATTATGTCAAAAAAACTACTATAGTATCTATCATTTTTTGTAATGCACGTAATTTAGTTTCACTTTTTGTTTCTCCTAAAGCAAGTTCTACAATACTAGGACATGTATTTATTCTCATAGCTATAATGATATTTTCTGAAGATGGAATACATAGAGATGTAAAATCTAAACCAATATCTATCAATATATCTTCAAATTTTTTTATTAAATGTTCTATACATTCTTCAGAAACATGATTTTGATTTGATGGAATAACAGATAAAATTCTTTCAATTATTTCTTTACGTGTTTCATCATCATATTGAGACTTAAATTGAATATGATATTCTGATAACTTAACACCTAAATTAACTTTTTTAGCTGTAGGTAATTTTGAAAGTTTAGTATATTGAGCCTTAGCAATTTTATTAGAATTTTCCATTTCCGGATCAATATTTTGTTTTTTTTTGTCAAATATATCATTTAAATCAGGTACTAAATCAGTTAATTTATCTAACATTTTTTTAGCAGCTTCCTGTTTAGCTTGCTTTTTCGTTTTTGCAACACCAATTTCTTTAAGAGTTGCTACTTCACATTCAATAGTAAAAATCTTTGCATGTGGAGGCCCAACATCACTAATTTGCTGATACTTAGGATCTTGTAAATTGTTTTCAACACACAAATCCTATAATAATTATTAATACATATTGATATTATTACAATGAATCAATAATATTTAAACAGATAAATATGACTTACTTGTAAAGCACCAACTGCATTAACAAATGGTATATCTGGTGGAATTCTTGGTATTTCAGGAATTGTTGGTGGTAAAGGTGTTCTTACAGGTGATTGAGCTGGTGATGCTGGTAATTGTAAATAACCTCTATGTGTTGCAATAATTTCTAGCATTGCTTTTGCAGCTTCATGTTTTGCATCTTTCTTAGAACGTCCAATACCAGAAGCAGTAAGATCATCACATTTTACTTGATACGCAAAAACATTCATATGTGAACCTCCTCCATCATGTATAAGTTCATAATTAGGTGTTATCTTATTTTTTACCATCATTTCTTGTAAAATAGATACTGGTGTTTTACTCATTTTAAATACAGATTGCTTAATTCTATCTTTATATCAATAATATCAATTTTATAATCACTTTTTATTAATAATTATTATAATTTTGCATTAAATTAAATTTATAATAAATTATTATAATTTTGCATTAAATTAAATTTATATGATTTTTATTGATATATTTATATATACATCATATTATCTGTAAACAATAAAAAAAACTAAATGAAAAATGATAAAACTAATGATAAATATATTGATAAATATGTAAAAATAGAAAAATTTTTTTTTCATAAAATATTTAAATTTATAATACAATATATTTTATCAAAAACAATTATAATTCAAAACAATTATAAAAATAAACAAAATAAACAAAATAAACAAACAATTATAATCATTATAATATATATAATGAATATATTAATAATTTAATTATAATAATAACTAATATTGTAAGAAAAACAAATCAACATTAATTATAAATATATATAAAAATAATTCTTTATATATAATAAATATATATAATTCTTCACAAATTATGTTGTATAATTGTATATTTCACAATATATTCTACAATATTTTATTTAATAAATTGTATCCATAAAAATGTTCAATCGATTTTTTTTTTTTTTTTTTTTTGCTAATAACGTAGAATACTTACCTCATCTTGAAGAAAAGATATCTTTCAGTTAAATTATAAGAACTATTAGTTAGAAAATAACTCATTCCAAAAAAAAGTGTTTATTCACTTCATAAATAAGGGAAGAATAGGATAGATCACTTTTGAACTCTTATGATTTGTTTACAACATTAAAAAAAAAAATTTACTTCAATTCATACCAATAAACATACGAAAAAATTCAAAACTAGTTTTTATAAATATTATTATTATATGCATATTTTATTATTTTAAGAATCTACATTTTTGATATAAATTATAAATATTAATATAAAGTCTATTAAAATACTTTGTTACAAAACATATAATTGATTATTATTGATGCGTCACTATTTTGTTTTTATATCAAGATATATGATTAAGGCAAATTTTAGTGGAATTTAAAATGTTTTTAAAATAATGTTTTTAAAAATAAATATTTTAATAATATTCAAATATTCAAATATATTTTTAATTAGATTAATAATTAATATAGATTAATAAGTTAATACAATATTGTAACGTAAACATGTTTCATTTATCAAGTACATATTAATTATTTTTTAAATTATTTTATCTTTTTATTTTAATTTATTCTTATTTAATATTTTTTATACTAATTATTGATTATTTTAATATTTTAAAATAATATTTTAAAAATTGTACAAGAAATATTGTATTAAATAAAAATATTTATATTTTTTATAATATAAACTATTATATTTTTATAATATATATTATTATATACTGAAAAATATAAATATATTATATGTACATACGAAATATATTAATAAGCACACTATATATTCTTTTTTTAAATTTTGATTTAAATTTATATATTATAATTTTATAGAACATGCTGCTATCTAGTTAGTGTATGGTATACTGTACTGGTTTCTAACCTCGTCAAATTGTGTTAATGTAAAACGTTAGTAAGGATTTTTAATCTCATCATATCGTGTTAATTATCATTAATTTTAACATCGATTGGAGTGAAATTTTATCATTGTAATATTAATTAATATATTTCTATCAAATGTGTATAAATACGTTATAAAGATCGCAAAAAATCTATATTAAATATTCAAACAATGATAAATTTAAATTTTTCAAAAATTTGGATTATAGAATTTAATGCTTTATATCATTTAAGAAATTATAAAAATACTTTAATACCATTTAAATTAATAAATATACACAATAATTTTTTATTTAATTTGAATAATGTAAATAAATTTTCTACTGCAAATATATTATTAAAAAATAAAGATCGATATAAAGAGAAAAAAAAAGTGATACATATTAATCTTGATGAAATACGTAATGTTATAAAAGTAGAAAATATGATATCACGGTTTGATGGAACAATTAAAAAATATAAAGATCAAATGATAAAAAATCTACCTCTACGTACAAGAATAGGTGCTATAGAAGAATTAACTATAACATTTGAAGGTGAAGAACATAATCTTGAAGAGCTTGTAGAAATTAATCGTAAACCTAATATGATGATATTAAATGTATCTGCATTTCCACAAATAATTCCAAATATTTTAGAAACTTTATCAAAATCTCAAATGAATTTAAATCCACAACAAGAGGGTACAACTATTTATATTCCAATACCTAAGTAAGTTTTCTTAATATTAAATGTATAATTTATTATTTTTGTTTAATCTATTAATATTCTTATAAAATTTAATAGAATTACAAAGGAACATAGAGAAGTTTTAACAAAAACAGCAAAACAATATTTTAATAAATGCAAAGATATTATTAGTGATATAAGAAATGAATACATTAAAGAGTTGAAAAATCATGAAAATGCACCAAAAGATTTAATTTTTAAAGCTGAAGATTATATAAACGCTACACAAAAAGAGTATGTAAAAAAAGCAGAACAATTATTAAAATCAAAACAAAAAGAACTTTTAGGAGAATAATTTTAATTTTTATATTTTATATGTTTGCACAAACATAAATATAAGATCATATATTTTTTTGTTCTATATAAAATTCTAAAATATATATATATAATAAATATTGTATATGATATAATATTATTATTATTATTGTTGATTGTGTTTTTATCATATTTTATTTTAGATTATATTAATAATAATTTATTAAAATTATTTAAATATTAATAATAGTTTGTTAAAGTTTATATTANTATAGATAATTGATAATTGAATAATTATAAAATAGAAATTTTATAATAACATTTTATAATTAAATTTATTTATTATATAAAAGACAATATATATTATAATAAATATATTATTATACTATATAAATAAACAATAGGCAAACTATTACACATTATTATAATTAATATATATTTTCTTTTAATATAAAAATTACAATTTTTATTTTTTATATAATTATATGTAAATATTATTATTTACATATTTTTTCTGATATATATATAATTATACATTATTTATATAATTAAAAAGAGCTTTGCAGAGAGTTCTTGTGGCAGTTTCTAAAATTTCTTTTTTATGAAAACTTATACTAAGTCGTAAGAAATTATGAGATTTTTCTAAATATGAGAATCGTATTCCAGGAATAGCAGATACTTTAAATGTTTCTTGACACCATTCAATAAAATTACTACCTTTTATATCTATAAGTTAAAAAAAATTAAATTTTCTTTTAATATAAAAAATTTATTTATTATAAGTAATTTAAAAATATGTTACCTAAGGGAAGATGAATCCATACAAAATAACCACCTTCTGGTTTTTTATATGAACAGCCTTGTGGTAAACAATGATCTAATATATTACATAATATAGATAATCGTTCCTATATAAAATACATTCATTTATCTATTTTTTTTAAATTCAAATGTTTAAATTTTCTTGAAATATCTATATTTAATTTTAGAATTTATTTAAATTTATTAAATATGCATATATATTGATTATAATCTTTAAACTTTAAGTATGAAATAGAAAATACTATTCAAATATAAATTAATAATAATTTAATTCACTTCATGAAACATACCTTATATATTTGTATTAATTTATCGAGGTAATTATCTTGTATATTTAGTTGTAGTAAACTTGTGACAATACCGAATATATAATGATTAACAGCACCACCGCTGCATAAGATTCCTCTATTATAAAATATTAATTTATAAAAATCGAATAATAATATATTAATTAATCCCTAAAAAATTTATATATCAAAAATATTTTTTACAATTGTAGTTCTCTTAACAGTTTATCAATTGATTGATATTTTGTTTAACAACTAAATCTTTATAAATACAATATTTCTATTTTTGAAAATAATGCGATTATAAATCACTTTATCATTTTTAAAATCATTTTTAAACTTTAAATAATTAACTTCTTAATATCTGATTATTAAATTTTAAATTACTAATCATCGTTAAGATATCTACATATCTTCATTTGCACATTTTTCGCAATATAAATAAATATCTGTTATAAATAATTTCTATACTAGATTTAAATTCATTAGTGCTGTTAATTTAAATTTCAATATGTCATATATACATCTTAATATTAATAATTAAAGAAATGAAAAGAATAATAGAAAAGAAATATTATATTTACGATTGTCTAAAAATTTTGGCAATTCGTGGACTACATTCCATCCATCCGAAACGAAGACCAGGAGAAAAAATTTTTGAGAATGTCCCATTAGATATAATATTGCCATCTCGATATTCAGAATCTGTTGGTTGATCATAAAAAAATAATCGATGTGGTGGTAAACCATCTCCATAATATAATAAGTTATATACATCATCACAGGCGATTATTATAGAATTTTTTCGTGCTATTTCAACGAGACGCTTACAATTTTCTATTTAAAAAAAAGTAAATAAAAAGATCTTTTAAATTTTTAACAAATTGGACAAAATATACAAATTTTTAATTTACCAGCAAGTAAAGTTGATCCAGTTGGATTATGAAAAGTGGGTATTGTATAAAACATAGCCCAAAATATTTTTTGCTCATTTGTTAAAAAATTATGGTCACATTTCTGTTTCATAACTATTTTTTCAAATGCATTAACATCTACCATATCGTTTTTCATTGGTACTATATTAAAAATAATAAATAAATAAATATATAATTATTAAAAACTTTAATAAGAATTTCATATAATGCATTTTAAATATTAGTATGACTTGAATTCTCTACATTCTCTACATTCTATATATAAATAAAGATTAGCATAGATTTATTAATATTAGTCTAGATTTATTAACATTAATTAAATTTATAATATAAATGAGAAAAATTTGGAAAACATACCTGTGATTATTTTCATTAATGGAAATTGTTTAAAAGCATCTAAGGCTATCATATAAGTGACTTCCTCTACAAAAATTATTCCGTTTGGAGCGATAATAGTATTCAATAAAAGTTGCAAACCATGTGAAGCTCCACATGTTAAAATTAAATTTTCACGTTTCACAGGATCACCATAACGTCTAGTTAAAAATTTTGCTAATTCTTCACGACATTCCCATAAGCCTGCTGTGATGCCATATTGAAACAAATAATATTTTCCTTCTTTCTTTTCTTCTTCCTAAAATGAAATATTTTTTCAATATAACCATTAAAATCATTAGTAATAAATTAATACGTATTGTAATAAAATTATATATTTTTAACTTTTTACCAATCGATGATCTGTTGCTTTTTTCATCATTTCTACACAATATTGGAGTAGGTCAGGACCGGGAGCACCAACTGATAAATTCGTTGTTTCTTCTTTATAAACATTAAACATAGAATCGTTGTCGAAAAGATGTCTTCGATATGGATCACTTATTGTTTCCATTGTTACAAACTGAGTTTTTTTCAATAAATAATTCAATTAAGTTTTATCAAAAGCTTCAAAGCTAAATAAGCAACGAATTAACTTAAAAAACACTTTTTTTTCACCGTTTTATTTATTTAATTTATAAATCAAAATTCGATTCGTAAATTATATTCGATAATTCTTTTTTTATTCGTATTATAATTATTAAATTGTACAAAAACAGACGAAATATAGTTTATGTGAGTTTATCTAATCTGTATAATTGTACGTAACTAGTGATAACAAACGAAAAGATCGAGAGTGGGAAAATTACAACGTAGTAGAATCTCTTGCATGGTTTCATTCGTCTACGAACAATTACAAGAATTGTACCGTTGAGTGGGGGAATACCGGTCATTTAAACGTTTCAAATATTGTTTAACATTATATTTTATTAATTTGTTTTGTTCTGCACTATAATATTATTCAATTCAATTAATTAAATTCAGTAGTTCGCATTACTTCATTGAAATATTTAGCAACTTGGTTCGCGAATGAAAATTTGATACATTTTCTTTAAAATTTCCTGAAATAAATAAATATATATTACGATAAGTCGTTTTATTACGGTAATTTTTTTTCCGCAATTTATTGTAAATTTAAAAAAACAAATTTATTTATTTATGTATATCAAAAAAAATATAAAATATAATACATAATAATAATATAATAATAAATATGAAATGTTGGTGCAAAAAAAGAAACAAACTGTGAGCTCTCGTAAGAATGATGATGGTTCTTTATTACAATAACTTCTTTACGATATATAATGATATTATAAAGTTTTATAAGTTCTATGTCCACAACCGAATGGCAAATGCAATTCCTTGCAACTATTTTATCCCGGCTATCGAACGGTATTGTACAATTTCAAATTTACGCTTGCAGTTGTCACTGCTGATTTTACACGGAATTATAGGGACAGGAATAATGTCGGGAGAGGCATGTGGGAGAAAGACACGTTTTCTCATTCTTTTTTTTTTTTCTTTTTCTCGCGATACACGTTGATCCGTTCGGCAACACAATTATTGATACAAATATAATATATTACAGGAAAAAAAAAAGTCAACGTAATCATTAATAACGCTTAACGCAATGTACATTCTTTTTTATTCTATCATCCTTTACGTAAGAGCATGCATTCCACGTGCGACGAGATTAGAAATTCGTGCAATTTTATTATTATCAAAAATATATCGTAAAATATATTATTATTAAATAATTTTTTTTTCAAAATTGATCCCAGTTTTATCACAGAATCTCGAGCATTGTTAAAAATTTGATACTATACCATCATGAATGAGATCGTAAATCTCGTGCACGCTTAAACATGTTATTTTAACTAATCGAATACAAATGCCTCGATGTATCTATTTTTTTTTTTTTTTCTTCTTAAATTTCAAATTTGAACACGATCATATAATACGATCTCCCTAATAACGAAATATGTGCGCCATTTTTTATTATTTTTTCTTTTTTTTTTTTTTCTTCCGCGCGTTCCCTGTACACAACATGGCACGTCCTAATCCTATGATTACGCGGCACAGCACAACCCCGTATATAATTCGCATATCGGCGCTGCGCTTAGTTTATTTCGTTTGTGACGTATTTTCTCTTTCGTACGTCCCATTTTCGAAATGGAAAAGAAAACATACAGCTTACTTATTTTACTCAAGTACTTTCCGTTTTCTACTAATGTAGAATATCTTACGCGCTAATCACTAATCTATGTACAGACGCGTTTCTACGAATAAAAATCGAGATAATTGCGCTCGGCCGAGGCCAATTTCATTGGTCCCACATACAAAAGGCGATGGCATAAAAAAATATAGAGCATCGTTAAAACATTTTATTAAGTAGAGCCGCAAGACAAGAATCTCGGGAAACAAGCGTCCATTTCTTTCATTGTCCTTTTGAATATTTCTATGAATCCCTGGATTCCGATTGATCTTCGTGTTGCGACTCAAGAAACTCGTTACTATTCAGGCAGTAAATTAGGACAATTCGTTACTGGTACTGTCGTAGCTTACTGCAATATATATATATATATAGAGAGAGAAAGAGAAATAGAAGAAAAGAGAAAGCAGGAGAGGATAAACGATCGAAATGTTTCTTTTGTCCTCCG